TGTGATGAGCCAGCCCTCCGGGATAAATCCAACCAGGCGCCTATGCTTTGCAGTTTCTAGACATTGGGCGGTGAGCCAACTGCATCAATCAATCAAAAGCCAAACACTTCAATCAGAAGCCGCGTGACCCGAACAACGCTAACGGCGATTGGCTGATAGTCGTTTGACCAATAGTATTTCTATTTGCATGTTATTTAATCCCATTGATTTCTTTCAATAAATGAACTGCCACTTCTGTCTCCTTTTTCCTGCATCTCTGTAACGGGAGATTACAGCGTAAAATTGCTAGTGCGCTTCCGTGCTTCAGTTGTGACCGTGATTCTTGATCCAAAATCTGAACCTACTTCGATTACTACATACTACTACTACATTTTGCACCTTCAAAGTGTAAAATGTTCCTACAAGACAGGGTCAGTTCAGCTCTAAACCTCACCCTGACTGGGGAAGTCATAGAGCAAATGGACAAGTTTTGTTATTTGGAGAGCTATATCTCACCCGGTGGACGCATCGCGGATGGAGTGTTAGCTCACCAACAGATGATTCGATAGGCCTTTTCCAAACTCAGACATATGTGGCACCGTCGCGACATCCGGCTGTCCTTGAAGTGTCAAGTGTATAGTGCGACAGTTTGGCTAGTTCTGCTCTATGGCGCAGAAACTTGGCCAACGGCAACAGGATAAAGATAAATTGTCAGTATTTGAGCGCCGCTATCTACACAGCATTGTCCGAATCTGGTGGGGAACCCAGCAAACCATGCTGAGGTTAGGCCTAGAGTTTTAGATAATCGCCATCATCCACTGGAGTAAGTTATCGACCACCATAGATTACGTTAGTTGAGACATGTGTCACGTATGTGTGGTGGCCCTAGCATACGGGATGACGCAAACCACTGGGAGACACGTTATAGTTTCCGGACAACTTTGATGAGTCAAACTTCCCAGGTGACGCCAAAAAAGTGCCTACGTGTTACAGCTTCAGGACTACGAGCCATAAGCCGATTGTACCGATCAATCAGAAGCTGGGCGGTTCAGACGGAAGCTGTACGACGCCAGGAATGCGATCACGCAATTAGTAGACACCTGGATGACCAATAAACTTGTTTTGTACATATTATTTAAACCCCATGATTTATTCCGATAAATGAACTACTAATCCTGTCATTTTTTCCTTTTGTCTCGGTTACATGGGATACCGTCGTTCAAGTGCCAGTGTGATCCATTGCTTCTGAGGCATCCGTGATTTCTGTTACGTGATTCGCAATTCGTGGTCGATGTGTACTTCAATCATTACAGTATGTCACCAAATATTTTGTCACAGGGCCGTGACAGTTAGTAGGTGGAAAAAGTCAAAGATGGTCAAAATTAGAGCTGACCTGAGGGTCACAAAACCCTAACCAGGACACTGGGAC